TAAATATATCAAAACTTAATTTTTGATTAGTAATATGCATTGCTAAGGACTTCATTTGGACAACTTTAAAGGCGACTTTATCTCAATATTTAGATTTTTTTTGCACCCTCAGATTCCAGATTTTCAAATAGTTGTATCTCAGCCAAATATTGTCCTATCCTAACAAACTTAATGGCTTTCAGATGATGTATAAAACTCAATTTCAGAAAAATTGACCCTTACGACTGGTTTTGTGCTCCAGGGTCACGTATGTATATATATAGAGAGAGATTGTTCAAAGTTAATGTAGTCTAACTTAGGCAAGCCTGATTTCCTATTGCTGCAGTGTATCACTTTTTCTACTTTGAATGTGAGCATTGTTTTAAAAGTTGCTCACACCAAGCAAAAAACAAAAAAGCACACCTGCTTTTGCTACCTCTTTATAGAGAGCATTTTATCAAACATTATCACACAATGTCTAATGTAACTAAACACCACAATAATACAAAATATTCCTGTTTATTCTATCTTTGTACCAATTTTATTATAATTTTTTTCAAGTCAAACTTTTTGACATCCAAACAGTACAGAATTTAAACCATACCCTATCTGTAACAAGCAAACAAATGACAAAGCATCAAGTTTTAGTAAAGTAAAGGAGGTTAATTGGACAAAAGGTGTGGGAAGCCTCATCCGAATCCTCATTTAGGACTGTTCTAGAGAAATCATCCTGAGATCATATGGGTTTTCTCTCCTCTGTCAGTGGGCTCGTCGATGGCCTCGGTGGCTCCTGTGCTGACCTCAGCATCCATCGCTCCCACAAGCCTGTCCCTGAAACCTCTAGGAGCCGCACCTGCTATAATCACAGGTGCCCTCTCTTATTCCCACACACTGGCTTTGCTCATTAATACACGCTAAGCAAGTAATCGGCGCCAATATATAATTTTCCTCTCAGTTACTTGTATTGTTTGAGCCTGCGTTTGTGTGTTTTGTAGCTGCTGCTAGCACTGGAGCCACCACAGGCTTTTCTCTGGGACTGAAGCCCGCAGCATCTATTGCACCAGCCACCATCACATCCACCTCCGCCGTCACAACCAGGTACAAAGCTGTTGTAAGTTTTGTGTTTTTTTTTCTACTGGCGAGTTGCATATCCAAATTCTTGTGTTGTCTTCTGTCAGCACTGCTCCAGTGTTGTCATACGCTCAGCTGGAGGCTTTGATTAACAAGTGGAGCTCAGAACTAGAAGACCAAGAGCGACACTTTCTACAGCAGGCCACTCAGGTCAACGCCTGGGACCGTATGCTGGTGGAGAATGGAGAGAAGGTAGAGAAATGCACTCCTCTTTTAGCACACTGCTGCCACATACACCATCTTTGCAACTGGTGCAAAATTTGTGTACACATTCCCATTATGAATTATAACTATTCAAATAGAAGTTAATAGAAAAGCAGGAATCAAGGCTTTGTCGGGACAGCATTCTTGCAATGCACCTGTTTCGGAGAAGAGAGCAAGTATTCAACTTTTTAAACTTCAGCTGTAATACTGTAATACTAATGTGTCCACCCACAGAAACAGACACTTCTGCTTATTACCTAACACATTTCCCATTTTGAGTTATGGTTATACAGCGTGGTTAGTGGGTCTGTTGGGTTAGATTGCTTTCTCACATAGTTAAACCTGAATCTAGTGTTGATGGCACACTGCCTAAGACCATATTGCAACAGGTTTCCAGTGACAAGTATTCTCTGTTTTGTCTTTTAGATAACTGCTTTACATAAAGATATGGAAAAAGTGAAACTGGACCAACGAAGGTAATCGTTTTTTTTAATTTTTTTTTTTTATAAAGTTGTGTTATATTAGAAATATTTGAAAGTAATTCACACAACTTTAAGTTCTTAGTGGAGGAGCATTAAAGGGTTAGTTCACCCAAAAATGAAAATTCTGTCATTAATTACTCACCCTCATGTCGTTCCAAACCTCCGTTCATCTTCAGAACACAAATTAAGATATTTTGGATGAAATCTGAAAGCTTTCTGACCCTCCCATAGACAGCAAGGGATCTACCAACCTTAATTTTACGAAGCTGAGAATACTTTGTGTGCAAAGTAAACAAAAATAACGACTGTATTCAACAATACTTCTCCGCGTCACTCTAGCGCCATTATGGAGAGTATCATGACGAATGCGCTGCACCTTGTTTACAAGCAGAGGAATTCATGCGCATGTGTAGTGATACTCTCCATAATGGCACTAGGGTGACGCCATTTCATATTTGTGACCCTGGATCACAAAACCAGTCATAAGTCGCACAGCAACTGCAAGATGGCGCCGCACATGGCTGCCTCGGTTTGTTGCTCCTTGGTACTTTTACTGTTTTTGTTTGTTTGTCCTGTCTTAAGCAACGTTTTTTCGATCAGCTTCACTAGAAACGAACTCTTGGACATAAGGAATAGAACACCAGATAACTTTTTGCCGACGTTTGAACATTCAGACATTTTACTGGACATTTTAGTTGTAGGAGCTGCGTTCCTATACAAGCGCTCCAGGCGACGCAAGCGAGGAAAGCGCGCCGGCACACACTCGTGAAACTCCGTCAGCGCGGTTTTAGGACTCCGCTGCCGAGTATTCATCTGGCGAATCTCCGCTCCCTTGCAAATAAATCATACGAACTACAACTCCTCACCCGCACAAACAAGGACTTTTTAAACTCCGCTGCGCTCTGCTTCACGGAAACCTGGCTGAATGGAGCCATCCCGGACAGCGCGTTACATCTAATGGGCTTCCAGCTGTTCAGAGCGGACCGAGTCGTCGGGGAAAAATTATCCGGACTCTTTCATTATCATTCTCGGGGATAACTGCCTAAATATAGACAGCACATCACGTGCCCCACCAGAGACAGCAATATACTGGACCACTGCTACACTGTTTTAAAGGATGCATACCACTCTGTCCCCCGAGCAGGGCTGGGACTCTCTGATCACTGTTTGGTTCATCTTCTACCAGCCTACAGGCAGAAACTCAATGATGTAAGCAAAGTCTTCAGGAGACAGAAGATAAGGAAAGCCAAAGGCCCAGACGGTGTCTCTCCAGCCTGCCTCAAAGCCTGTGCTGTCCAGCTATCATCCATCTTCACATTGATCTTCAACAGATCCCTGGAGCTGTGTGAAGTCCCCTCTTGCTTCAAACGCTCCACCATCATCCCTGTACCCAAAAATCACAGGACTTAATGACTACAGACCTGTTGCTCTAACGTCTGTGGTCATGAAGGCATTTGAGAGACTAAGCAGAAAGGATCATTGGTGTCCACCCGCCCAATCTTCAGGACTTGTACAACTCCAGAGTGAAGAAACGGCCTGTATATATAGAGTAAATAATGCACATATCTGTACATAAATCTTCTGTTTCAGATTCATACACATTATTATATGTTGTTAAGTCTTTAATTTAAATGTTTCTGTTCTCATGGCAGATATGTATGTATGTATGCATGCATGTATGTACCAAGAGCTTCTTAAAAACCACAACAAATTCCTTGTGTGTTTGCGCACACTTGGCGAATAAAGCTGATTCTGATTCTGAGGTATATATGTAGCAATAGCTAAAAATACATGGCATGGGTCAAAATAATTGGTTTTTCTTTTATGCTACTTTAAAGGTGATTTCTCAATATTTTGCACCCTCAGATTCCAGATTTTCAAATAGTTGTATCTCGGCTAAATATTGTCCTATCCTAACAACCCATACATCAATGGAAAGCTGATTTATTCAGATTTCAGATGATGTTTACATTTGAATTTCAAAAAATTGACCCTTATGACTGGTTTTGTGGTCCATGGTCACATTAATTTTATTTTTTGCAGTGACTGGCTGACTGTACATTATTCTGCTATTTACAGCAGCTACTTAATGGTTTGAGTGGAGAGTTGACCAGTCACAATCAAAGATATCACCAAGCATGCTTTATATGCAATTTCTGATGCAAACTTTGTGCTTCTCATATTTTGGTGCTTGTACCACAGGTTGGATCAGGAACTAGACTTCATCCTCTCCCAGCAGAAAGAGCTGGAGGACCTTCTTGGTCCATTAGAGGAGTCTGTGAAGGAGCAGAGCGGAACCATTTACATGCAGAACGCAGATGAAGAGCGAGAGAGAACGTAAGAACTCAATCGGCCATCTAAGCATCTCATATTGCCCTCATATACTGTGACGTCATTGAGTATCTGAATGAGCTTATTTACCCAGGTACAAGTTGGCAGAAAATGTAGATGCCCAACTCAAGAGAATGTCCCAAGATCTGAAAGAGATTATTGAACACCTCAACACATCCAGCGGTCCTGCTGACACCACTGACCCGGTATGCAAAATATGGCCAATAGTCCAGACAGAAATGCTCTTAATTGTTGTGTGATCTGTACTAAGAATGACTGTTGTTGTTTTTTTTAGCTTCAGCAGATCTGCAAAATCCTCAATGCACATATGGACTCCCTGCAGTGGGTAGAGCAAAACTCTGGTTGGTATATTTTTGGCTTTAAAACCTTTTACACACTAAAAAATAAACTGTCAGTCCATTAAACGCTTTATGAATGTTAGCTTGTGTTCTTAACATATAGTTTTTCTGTGCAGCTTTACTCCAGAGGCGAGTGGAGGAGGTCTCAAAGCTGTGTGAAAGCCGCAGCAAGGAACAAGAGAAGAGCTTTCGTTTAAACTTCCAGTGATCATGCATATTTTCCCCCCTCTCTCTTTTCTCAGTCAGTTGTAAATGAATGTCATTGTTTTTGGTATTTGCTTCAAAATAAAGTAATTTCTTTCAACCCCATTTCCTCTTAATTAGTCTTTTTTTTTAATTCATATTGATTGCTATTTACGAATTATCATAGGTTTTTCTAAGTTTAGTGATCAAGAAATTCAGGTAGAAAACCAGAGTAATTTTTAAAGATGTAAAAATGGAGAAAACACCTGCAAAAACGGGAGTTTCTCTTCCTGGTTGGTTTACGCTTACGGGATAAAACGAACCAATCAGCTGCATGGAGCTCCACCATAGCAACATGGATCCTGGCATTGTTTAATATCATCAAGCAATCTTGGTCTGCGTCTAGGGGGAAAAAAAATCTGCAGAAATAAAAATCATACTATTTTAGAGGAGGTTGCAGGTTTAAACGGGGACGAAATGACCACCGACATCTGCAGGTATGTGCAGCACTGAGAGCGCGGCTGCATGCGCCGGAGAACACAGCATCCTCCCCTTCCACATGCATGTAGTCTGTGTGTAGCATGAACCACGAGTATGTCTGAAGTGCAAAGTGATGCTTGGATAACCGAGTGCAATGGCGTGGATGCTCGGCAGACTGGGGTAATTCATAACATAAGAAATAAAATGCATGGCGTGATTTTGCACATTTACTATAGCACGCGTCGGTACAACAAGCATGGGTCCGGAATGCATCATAAAACTCATGCCCCAATTTATCCTATGCTGCACATTCTTTGCATTAAATGCATGCATTCTCCCATGCATTATTTATGATTTTTCTGCGTGTTTTAAAAATGCATTCAATAACCACGCAGACTGTGGTGTTTAAAGTGAATTGCGCCCAGTGCATGTGTGCATATTCGCGTTCAGTCGGTGCATTCAGAGCGCGCGCGCAGACGACTTGAGTCTCGCGTGCGCCATTTTAGCGCGTCTCCAGCCATCCGGCAAGATGGCGCTCTCGCTTTGTCTGTCCTGATCGGCATAAAACACTGTTTACTTGTACTACACACCTGAAAATCCAGCGGATCGAATGAAAAAGACCCTTTCCTAGCGGTGCCAAACCGGTGACTTCTCAGAGATCCGCGCGTGACGCGAGCACAGATATCTTAAGGTAACGTTAGGTGAAGGGATGTAACGTTAGCCGGGTAATGCGTGCATGCATTTGTGCGCTCACATCTGTGCTTAAGTATTGCGAATAGTTAGGAGGCGTCTACATGGGGATTGATATCCTAACAAAGTGCCTTGCTTTTGTTTTACAACTATTCTCATTATTCACGCTATTGTGCATCTCCAGCAGCTAACTATAACGTTAGGTGCATTGGTCATATGCTAGAACTAGGCCTTTCTCCACCAAATGTTTTAGCACTTCGTTTAAATGGGCGTTTTGGCTTAGAATTATGTCGATTTAGGAGATCTGAGTGTCGTTTTTGCGTCTCTGTGGTGTTTTCCTCTTAAATCAGCCTCGGTATTGAAAGGAAATAACAATCTGTGTCAAACAGTTAGCCAAATGAACAGCGATCTGTAGTGACATGACTGGTTTTTCCCTCATCTTGTCTTATTTATGTAACTAGTTTGTTTCGTGGCATTTCCTCGCGTTTAACGGCAGGCACGGGCTGATCGGTTTGTTTATGTTAGCTGTTATCAGTGCGTGTCTTCCGTCTGTTACCGGCTGCGATGACGCCACCTGTCAATCAAACAGCGACCGCGGCGCGTGAAATTACCTCAAAACTCTCCCAGGCTTTAATTTAATGCGACTTTCACTGTTCATGTTGGATTGTCATTGCATGCATTTATGTGTATTTATACCTAAAATGACGTATTCCTGCACTTACTTTTCTGCGCGGTATTGTTTGCCGTTTTTGGAGCATGACTTTAATTTTTTATATATTTTTTTTGTGGTTGACACATTTTATAATTCTTCAGACAGTTTAAATTCTGTTGGAGGTATTGTCGTATTACTACGTTTCTTTATAATATTATCGTAGTAAACCGTAACATAGTGTCAGATAACCCTGTGAGAAAACTGTTTTTTTTTTTTTTTATTCAGTTAACGTTAACTCTTTTGAAGAGATTTTTTAATCCAGATACAGTTTGAGTTTTTAGCGACAATAAATTTTAAAAACCTAATAATAATTTATTATACATTTTTCCAGCTATGAAAATAGCCACAGAAGCTGGTATCAATCAAACAATAGTGTGATAACTTGGTATTAGCCTCCACTAATATAGTTGTGTGTGTGATAAAATAAATATTTTGAAAGCTTCTTAAGCTGAAATTCCATATTCAGTTCAGTTTTACAGTAACAATAAGAGCACTATCTGTGGTAAATTTGGTTAAAGGTGGGCCATTTATGTCTTACATCTTTATACACACAATATGCTGTGTTTCTTTCAGGTCCAGTAAGTTGAATACATTGGTGACTAAACTTCATGAGTTCTTGGGTCATTCTCCAGACCACGAAAGCGTTGATTCTCAAGACATTTCCAATGGTGAGGATCCCTACCGTCAGCTTTTCAAAGGCTAAATATAATAAATAAGGCCAATTTATGATATCTATGTATAAATAGTGTAAAAATATGTACATGTTTTCTTAACTTCCAGCAATTAATTGCATTTTTAATTTGCAATAAATCTGAAAATGATGCATCTTGTAAGTTTGCATGCTTTTCTGATAATGCAGGTAATATGGCCGATCGTGACTCAAACATCCCTGACGAGAGAATGAATGAGGTACGTCTACCGAGTCTGTTTTTGCTTTTTATCTCTAAAACACTGTGCTCTATCCGTCTGTGTCAAGGCAAGTCTACAGCGTAAGGTCATTTTTCTGTTCTGACTTAGTGCATTTACGTTCACTTTGAAGTTCAACTTGAGTTGAACTAAAGCAATAGTTAGTCTTTTTAAAATGACGTGTAAACTAAAAGACTCTAATTGTACTTTCCCAGTTTTTGCAAAGTCGCGCACAAATCCTAGATCCATTTTTTTTTCTTTGAGATTAGCGCACATGAAGAAGAGCATCACAATTAGGATTCAGGCAGATTTGTTAAAGAATAATGATGCATCTTGCCATTTAGCAACAGGCCTTTCTGAGGGAAAAAACAAGACAGCTTTTGCCATCATTCTCTGTAATAGTGCGAGAATGATATAGTGCATGAATAAAGAATCAGTTACACGACTCATGTTCGTGCTTTGGTTTTCAGTTTGCTTCAAAAGTTTCTTCAGGAAGTTTATAAAAGACAAGGAAATTAAATTGGTGCCCAGCACATCCATTTTATTCCATACCCTGAAAGCTTATCACGGCAATATTTATGATTTCTAAATTTGGGTTATAATGTTCAGGTAGGTGGACAAGTTTTTTTTTTTTTTGCCAAAGAGATGTTTCTGTGAGCTTTGTGCTTGATTTATGCAAACCCACTGTAAGACTAAATGATGCAGGTTGAGCTGGTAATATATGTATTTATCATCACTGGAAATGAAGTGAAATGCTTTTTTGTTTTTCTTTTCTTTTCTTCAGCCTGGTTGCTCCTCAGAAATGACCAAACCCTCATCTTCACGCTCAAAGAGGTGAGTTGGGCTGCAGTTATTGTCGACGCTCTGGCTCTTGTCCAGTAAAATAGTGTAGTTTGACGCTGTGCTCTAAAGGATTGCAGGTTGTTGTGGGAATGGAATGCTGGAATTTTGAGTTGGAAAGTGTTTGTGTGGGAAGAGGATGTATTCTGATCATGTTTATTGGAACTTATCTTATCTCTCGGCTGGAGTATTGCGTTGGGCTAGGGGGGGAGGGCTGTTTTAAGTTGGTTTAAATATTTTCTAACCAATAGACTTTTCTCTGTAAAAATAGGACGTTTCTCTTCTTCTCTTCACAATCTATCTTGTGGTGTGCCTCAAGGCTCTGTTTTAGCTCCTGTCCTTTTCTCTCTCTATCTTCTCCCTTTCGGTTCCATTCTTAGGAAACATAATGTCACATTTCTTTGCTATGCCGATGATATGCAAATCTATATGCCTGTGTCTAAGAAAAATAAGAGTTCTCTGGGCAACCTAACAGCATGTCTTGAGGAGGTGAAAGCTTGGCTTGCCAATGATTTTCTTTTTCTGACCTCAGACAAAACAGAAGTCATTGTTTTTGACTCCTCAGAATTCAGGCCAAGAAATCACCTTGACCTTGAATCCTTAAATCAATTCTTCTCTCCCCAAGTAAGGAATCTAGGTGTGATGGTAGATAGTTGCCTCAAATTTGACAAGCAGATTAGTGCGATCATTGGGTCCAGCTTTTTCTCTCTTTGTCCTCTATCAAAAATTTATTCTAATTTGTACAGCACTTTGGTCGGCCTGTGGCTGTTTTTAAATGTGCTTTATAAATAACTGAACTTGAACAACCTGTTAACCCCTTTTCCCCTCTATTGTTAATGAAAGAAAACCTTCATTTGTGACCAAGCACACTGCTGTAGAGGAGTCTGAATGTGCGAATGAGAGTGCAGGTGAACACGGCACAGATGAGAGCATGCAGAGCAGTCTGGATATCAGCAAGCTGCCGCAAGGTTCGTCCTCTGTTAGGATGTTAAAGTCTTCTGAAGCGTGTCGTTTAAGAGGGGCACTGACTCTCCTCCTTCACGTTTCGCAGGCACAGTGGTGGTCAAGCCGGAACCGGTTGCTAACGAAGCTAAAGATGAATTCCGCGGCCCCGAGTTTCGTAGCAGAGGAAGTAAAGTGAAAGAGGACGGTGCTCGGAAACGTCCCGGTGAGTGGGTTTGTGTACTGTAAATGATCCCATGCTCTATTAAAGGCTAGTGAATTATCTCAGATCGATTTATTTGTTACATAACTGCTGCACTGGGTCAAATGGATCTATGTTATATGTTGTTTTCAACGGTCAAATAATTTCTTATTTCTAGGTTAATGTGCTGAAATTCCATTGAATGTTTCTTTCTTTCTTTCTTTTTCCAAAATGGCAGTCACTAATGTAATTTTAAAAACGAAGTGTAATTTTAGTGTAACCTATTCGGCCAAACAATGGAAGAGATTAAATGCAGTTCTTAAGTTTAAAAATTAAGTTAGGTCATCATAATGAAACAGACCTATAGATCTCCACATTTATCTGTTGTATTGTCATTCGATATTTACATAAAATTCCCTTATTTGTATGGCTATATGTTTGGTCTCTAAAATCACCATTAGGTCAAATACTGTGGATATCACAATCTATCAGCCTAATGCTGAATAAGCATTTTATTAAAAAAAATATCGGTTCTCTTCTCTCAGAGTAGACAAAAACTGTCCTGAAATATGCCCAAATGTCATGTTTTGGAGGCACACCTAAAAACACATTTGAATAAGCTTGAGTAGTAACCGATTACATGTAATTTTGATTATGTAATCAGGTTCCAAACGTTAAGTACTTGCAATTAGATTATATTACAATTTAAAATACTTGCAATCAGACTACAGTTGCTTTTTTATTGATTACATATTCATCTCATGATCTCATGACATGCAGGTAAACAGGTGTAATTCATTTTTTTATGTTTTATTTTGATTTGTTGTTGTAATTTGAAAAATATGTATTTAATTTAACATTTTTATGATTTAATTAATTAGCTCTTGATTAAACTCGTGAACCCCCGTTTGCGAATGGAATATATATTGTATTTTTATATCAATATGGTACAAGATTAGCATATTTAAATCAATGTGATGAACAAGTTAGGTCAAAAGTAATAAAAAAAAAAGAAAAAAAAAAGTAGTCATTATATTACCTTAAATGTGTAATGTAATGGGTTACGTTACTAACTACAATTTTTGTCATGTAATTTCGAATCAGTAACAGACTACAGTTTGTTACTACACTCATGAACTAGTGTTGAGGCTGCTCCCAGGGTTGCAGTATGATTGTTTTATTATCGTCATCATCTATTTTTTAATCTCTTGCAGACGAGCGGCTCAAGGAGATTTTTAATTGCACAGCATGTGGACAGCAAGTCAATCACTTTCAGAGAGATTCTGTGCTTCAACATCCCGCACTACATGTTCTTATCTGCAAGGTAGAAAGCAGATTAACTTGTTACAGCCAATTACGCGCTTGTATCTCTCTCATTCACATGCATGCCTTTTTCTTACAGTCATGTTTCAAATATTATATGAGTGACGATATCAGCAAGGATGAAGATGGAATGGATGAGCAATGCAGGTTGGTGCAGAACATTTATTTATTTATAACACTCTAGCTGTGACGATACCAATATATTAGTAGTCAGTGGAATTTCACATTTCCCAATACCACTTTTAATGCCACAGCAAACACCATTATCCTGATGAATGCACTGCAGTATAAAGTCAAATTAAGTGAAAACATTGTTGTGCAACTTTAAGGGTTCTCAGTTTAATCAGTAAATGGGTCAAAGACAAAAAATGGTTTTCAAGCATCAAAACAATAAGTGAAATACAGATTTGAATTGTTCTTGGTTTTTAATACATTAGAAAGTGTCCTGTTTAATTAAATAGTGTTTTTTTTTTTCTTTTGTGCAAAAAATAAATAAATTTTTTTTACTATGATTTACAGAAAACAGACACTAAAATGTCATTCAATGTAATAATCTTGTCAGGCATATGTACCACAACAATACGTTTGACACGTTAAAAGACTAATTAGTTTTACCTCAGATGCTACTTGCTTGTAATTTTACATTTTTAAACTTTGCCACTATCCTGTTTTGGCTATTTGTCAGCAAGATTTTTGTACTCAATTAAAATGCGATAAAATTTAGTATGCTCACTTATTCTTTTATATATTTTAATACGCACACGTCAGAATAAGTATGTTGTTTGAACTTTTACATAAATATACACTACCGGTCAAACGTTTGGGATCAGAACGATTTTTTTATGTTTTTTTAAAGGAGTTTCTTCTGCTCATCAAGGCTGCATTTATTTGATCAAAAATACAGGAAAACATTTAGTATTGTGAAATATTATTACAATGTAAAAATGTTTTTCTATTTTAATATACATTAAAATGTAATTTATTCCTGTGATGCGCAACTGAATGTTCAGCATCATTACTGCAGTCTTCAGTGTCACATGATCTTCAGAAATCAGTATAATAAGCTGATTTATTATCAGAGCTGGAAACTGTTGCTGCTTCATATTTTTTGGAACCTGTGATACTTTTTACTGGATTCTTTGGTGAATAAAAAGTTCAAAAGAAGAGCATTTATTTAAAATAGAAGTCTTTTCTAACAATATACACTACAGTTCAACAGTTTGGGGTCAGTGCATTTTTATTCTTTATTTTTTTGAAAGAAATTAAAACTTTTATTCAGCAAGGATGTGTTAAATTGTTAAGAAGTGATAGCAAAGATTTATGTTGTTAGGAAAGATTTATATTTTGTATAAATGCTGCTCTTTTTAACTTTTTATTCATCAGAGAGTCCTGAAAAAAGTATCGCAGTTTTCAAAAAAATATTTATATTGTGCAGCACAACTGTTGATAATTCTGATAATAAATCAGCATATTAGAATGATTTCTGAAGGATCATGTGACACTTTACACTGGAGTAATGGCTGATGGAAATTCAGCTTTGCATCACAGAAATAAATTATATTTTAAAGGATATTAATATAGAAACCATTATTTTGTATTGTAATAACATTTTGCAAGATTACTGTTTTTTTTTCTGTATTTTTGATCAAATAAATGCAGCCTTGATGAGCAGAAGAGACTTCTTTAAAAAACATTACAAGTCTTACTGATCCCAAACTTTCGAACGGTAGTGTAAGTGTTATATATACATAAATATAAGTGACACTGAAGGTGCATTATTTCACCCACATTTTGACATTTTATTCTCCCCAAACCTTAAATGTAGACACTTTTTCTAGCATTTAATGTGCTTTCTGTGTATATAAAATCACTTTTGTAAATTTCTTTTGATGCGGACATTTAAATGTCTTTGACCCATGTATTATATGTACATTATATATATATTAGGGCTGTCGATCGATTACAATTTTTAATCTAATTAATCACATCCTTTTTCTGTGAATAATCGCGATTAATCACACACTTCATGAAATTAAGCATAGACCATTTATCTTGTTTCAAATGTTTATTTTGCCATCATTTGCTATATCCAGCAAAGTAAACCAAAAGATTGAAGGGTGATTCTCAAAAATCTATATTTTCTGCAAGCTTTTTTCAAGATAAATTTAGATGTCTTTCCAAAAAAGGACACTCAGAAACTCCAAAAGTACACCAATATGAAAGAAAAAAAAAATCAGAATTGTATAGTATGTGTACAGTCGATGACAGCCCTAATATATACATTAAAAAACAATCTCTCCATGTTTTGAACACTGCTCAGATGTCTTTGTTTGAACTGGAGCCATTCTCATATTACAACTCTTGCTGGCTACTAATAGTGTCTTTAGTAGATCTTTCACAGTCAAATGAGCTACTATGTTACTCAAATAGAGTGTAGAAAAAGAGCAGTCAGTTCCAAAAGGGAAATTTAATGATTTAATGGATGTTATGTCTTTTTTAGGTGGTGTGCAGAGGGGGGTAATCTGATGTGCTGTGACTACTGCAGCAATGCCTTCTGCAAAAAGTGCGTTTTGAGGAACCTTGGACGAAAAGAGCTGTCTGAAATCATGAATGAAGAAAGCAAATGGCACTGCTATGTGTGCCGTCCAGAGCCGCTGCAGGACTTTGTTAAAACCTGTGAGAAAGTTTTGCTCAATCTGGAATCGTCTTATAGAAAGCCCAAGGGAGACGGTGACAAGACGAAGCGCGAAGATCGTAAACACAAGCATGGCAAACGAGAAAAAACTGCTGTAAATGGACAGGATTACGCCTCCGATGGAGCGGGATCGTTATCCTTTTCCTGTAAGACGTTGACGGTTCCGAAAGAGCTCGTCAAGAAGACCAAAAAACTCATCGAGACCACAAACGGTTTGAATCGTACTTTTGTACAATTCCTCCAGCACACGTCAAAAGGCCGTGAAGTTGGCGCCGTAAGTAATAGACACTTAAAGGCCTTCAAATCGGTTTTGGCCGATCTGAAAAAGGCCCACGTGGCTCTGGAGGAATCACTCGAAAAAGAATTTGAATCGAAAGGCCTCAAGTTTCAAAACGGAGAGGAGCAAAGACCGGCACACAGTCAAACAGATCATACCGTTGTTAACTCTGACCCTGCTCCTGTCAGAGAAGATGGTTTGGATTGCACCGCCAAGGACCAAGATGAAAACCAACAGGAAAGTAACTCAGCTGATGTTGAAATGAAGGAGAGCCTTCCACCCTCTCCAGAAGAACCTCAGGATCGGTCTGAAGAAAGTGAAGCTCAAGAAATGGCAGATAACCCTGACTTTGAGGAAAACCCAGTACCATCTGGGGAAGCGTCTCTTGATAAAGACATCGTGTCTATTCCACCGTCTGTCCCAGAGGAGCTCTTTGAGATGGTCGAGAGTCTTGCGGTAAAGAAAGAAGACCGTGACGATAGCAACTCGACTGGTTCCAGTGATTGGAAATCAACGTCCAATGCTGGGGTTGTGGAATCCAATAAGAGCCTTACAAAACTGGGTAGAAAACTTGTTGTCAAACTAACACCTGTTCCTCTTAAAATCACCATAAAACGAGATAAGAGCCAAGAACAGTCGCCTTCAGAAGACTTGCCAAAGGAAGCTCAAGATAGCAGACGCTCCCCCAGGATGAAGACCACACCGCTGCGCAAGTCACCAGAGGCGAAGAACAAACGCAAACCGAGGTCGTCAAGGGCTAAAGAAGAGCGCAGCGACGCAGTCAAGGAGCAGTGCGATTCAGACTCAGATGAAGTCCCTGAGGTCCTACAGACGGCTGCCTTAAAGGCCAGCTCTGATGAGAGCGAACCCGAGAATGCTTCTGGAAAAGGTACCAAGAAGAAGAAGGTAGCTTCCCGCTCTGCTGAGAAAGCAAAAGCGAAGCCAAAGCGTAAACTCGATATGGGCTCCTCGGATTCAGAACAGAGTGGCAAGTCATCAACAGCAAACAAAAGGAGGGCCAAAAAAAAGAAGGGCAGAGAATCTGACTCCTCGAACCACAACTCTGATCTTGAGAAACAGATGAAAAGCCTGTCCAAGATCGGCAGTGGGAAAAAAACATCCAAAGGTGTCAAAAAGGAAGAGAGTGAATCCAGTAAAGAGGGCAAGAAAGGCCCTAAAAGGTCATTTGAGAGGAAACGGCGGTCACAGAAAGAAAAGGCTAAAACCAAGGAGGAGTTTTCCTCCAGTGATGAAGAGCAGGAGGAGGAGGAGCAGGCCGCTAACTCGGACGAAGACAGCGATCAGCAGAAGATTAAACCAATTCTTGAGTCCGTGATGGCTAGTATTGATGGTTTCCATCAGTCATCAGGTCAGTCGAAAAAAAGGTTGAACTAAGACCAGTTTTATGGCAGGAAGTATTAGCTGCCTATTGATCATTGATTTCAAATTGGGGAAAAGAAAATGTTAGAAGAAAATCTACGAAATTACTTACTGTCCCCGTAAAATGCTGCCATTAATCTTGAACAGCACCTCCTGTTGGCTGGTTTATTAGCGGCGGTTTCCAAACGGGTGGCGCTGAGGGGGACCACATAAACATTCTGAAATGGAAATGATTAAATACTACAAATTCTTAAATAATGTACAACATTTCTAATATGTTTTTTGAGAGGGTAAATGAGGATTAATTCAAACTTGATCATTATGAAGTTTGTGTGGTGTGGGGGGGGCTACATCGGTGTGTAAGTCAGTCATTTTTTTATTACATTTTTATTACATTCAGAAATAAGGTAAAATACAGGTAAGCATTTATTTGATTATCCATCACTCCACAATACATAATTTACGTTTACATTTTTATGCTATTAAGAACAGAAATGAAAAATAAAAGTATAAAACAAACAAATTATAGTGCCATTCATTTAAAAAAATAGCAACATTGAAGCTACTGGCATTTTGGTAATGCATTGTACAAATACACAAATGTTTTGCATGCTTGTTGTTATTTGCATTATATATATAATACAAGTTGAAGCTTGTTTCAGATGATAAAGAAAAGTGACTTGCATCAGGAATATATGTTATATAGGGTTGGGAAGGTTACTTTGGAAATGTAATGGGTTATAGATTACAAGTTACCCTATTTAAAATGCAATAAGAAGTGTAACTAACTATTTCAATTACTTTATTAAAGGATTGTAACTGATTACATTTGATTACGTTTCTAAATTTCTAGCTAATGTTTTGATACTGAGGCCCTGTCCACACGAACGCGGTTATTTTTAAAACCGCAGCTGTTTCTAAGCGGTTAGGCCGTTCGTCCACACGCAAACGCAGCACCAGTTCACTGAAACCGAACATTTTTGAAAATGCCTGCCAGGGTTAAGATTTTCAAAAACTCCGGTTGGAGTGTTATCGTGTAGACAGCACAGGCTCCGACGTCACAAGCCAAAAACTCCGGTTTTGCTGTTATCTCCGCCTACTGGAGACTTTTTCAGGCTTCTGATTGGCCAACATGGTTTTACGGTTGAGATTATATCGCCACCTGTTGGTTAGGCATGCTCTTAACAGTGCTTCATAGCTTGCATTTGCGTTTTCATGTGGACGGAGATTTTTTTTTAAACGGAAGAAGGAAAAACTCCGTTTTTAAAAATACCCGTGTACGTGTGGACATGGCCTGATACTGTTATGATACTGTTTTTGTAATCAAATCTTTGCAGAGTTTGACAGGAAACACCGGCATCTAACAATGCCAAACTAACAGTTCATCTTAATAAAATAAAGCATATAAACCCAAATAGGAAATAAAATCGTTATTAAATAAGCACGTGTTCTATTCTGTGTCCTAAGCTCCTGAAACATTGGTGTCTTATATTTTAGAGCAGTCAAAGTAGTTTGGGATAGAAATCAATTAAATCTGCAAGTGTGTGTCTGTCTGATGCAACCCCCTTTGTAATCGATACCATTTTCATAAGTAACTAATTTAATTTCACATTTTTTTTCTCAGTAACTGCAACGAATTACAGTAAAATTTATTTTGTAATTAAATTATGTAACACCATCCATGTAACTAATTACTCCCCAACACTGGTTATATACGAGGACCAATTTTGCATCACAATGGCAAATAATTTACGTAAACCACCAACTTGTCGTTTGCATTCAGAGCTCAGATGTTTTTGATCTGCTTTCGTGTTTTTTCTAGTGTCCTGATGTTTAGTCTCCAGCTGATTTCAGCATCAGCTGTGGGCAAAACTATGTACTCACTGCCACTATTGGAGTGCGTCACCTAGTGGCTCTCCTTTTAAAAAGACTGCCTAAATGAAAATAAACTGCACATGCCATGCTCACACGGTACAGTGGGGAAAATATTTATTTGATCCCCTTTGATTTTGTAAGTTAGCCCACTTACAAAGAAATGAAGGGTCTGTAATTTTTATGGTAGGTTTATTTTAACAGATAGAGACCGAATACCAACCAAAAAATCCAGAAAAAAAACATTAAATAAAGGTTAGAAATTTATTTGCATTTCAGTGAGTGAAATAAGTATTTGATCCCCAAGCAAAACATGACTTAGTACTTGGTGCAGAAACCCTTGTTGGCAAGCACAGAGGTAAGACGTGTCTTGTAGTTGGTCACCAGGTTTGCACACATTTGGGATTTTGGTTTACTTCTCTTTACAGATCCTCTCTAAATCCTTAAGGGTTTTTTTTCTGGATTTTTTGGTTGGTATTTTGTCTCTATCTGTTAAAATAAACCTACCATAAAAATTACAGACTCTTCATTTCTGTGTAAGTGGGCAAAATTACAAAATCAGCAGGGGATCAAATAAATATTTTCCCCACTCTATATGTGAAGTGAAACAGACCTAGACACAAAGATCACTGGACTGAGACATTAGTCCATATATTGCTACACACTGATGGAACATTTGAGAGTATTTAAGATAGATCCATTTTTGGATAGAAGACGTAGTCACTGTAATATAGAGTAGTAAAAACTCTATATTACAGTAAAAAACTAATATAGAGTAGACTAGCTCGAGAAAAAAAAGTGTACATTAACAGCTGGAATATAATGTAATTATATAATACACTGAACATTAGGGCTACCCTTGACCAAAGATTGTCCTAGTTTACTATTAGTCGTTCATTTAAGCCATTAGTGGATTAAGCGCTCATTTATGATATCAATTCAATCATATTGGCATCTTATCTGCCGCTCTGCGCTTTCAGGTCAGAAAAGCAAATTTATCTTCTGCAAGAATTGAAAGCTATATTTGATATTGCACTTCCAGAGAAAGCAAAACGAAATTATTGGCAAGTGTGAGATGCGCTATACAACATGACGTGCCTTACCAAAGTCTAACAAGCAGAAACTGGGTCAAATAGAACTTGACATGTTAAATAGAATTTGGTAAATAAATAGAATTTGTCGTGTTAAATAGAATTTGCCACCCTTGACCAAAGATTGTCCTAGTCTACTATTAGTCGTTCATTTAAGCCATTAGTGGATTAAGCGCTCATTTATGATATCAATTCAATCATATTGGCATCTTATCTGCCGCTCTGCGCTTTCAGGTCAGAAAAGCAAATTTATCTTCTGCAAGAATTGAAAGCTATATTTGATATTGCACTTCCAGAGAAAGCAAAACGAAATTATTGGCAAGTGTGAGATGCGCTATACAACATGACGTGCCTTACCAAAGTCTAACAAGCAGAAACTGGGTCAAATAGAACTTGACATGTTAAATAGAATTTGGTAAATAAATAGAATTTGTCGTGTTAAATAGAATTTGCCATGCAAGTTGACATGTTACATAGAATTTGTTAAATAAATGGAATTTGACATGCAAGTTGACATGTTAAATAGAATTTGTTAAATAGAATTTGACATGCAAGTTGACATGTTAAATAGAATTTGACATGCAAGTCAGAATTTGATATTCAAGTAAAAAGTATCTGTCCTACAACGTTTTTTATGCTTTACTACTGCAAAGGATGCAAATATAGTAATTCAAAGTGAACGAAAGGAAGAAATGTTTATAATCCCGTGCAACTATGAGAGAGATGTGAGTGAAGATTTGGGAAAAGAAAGAAGCGATTCCATGTGCAGTGGAATAACTCATGGAATAAATTTGCGGAAAATAGGGTTTCCAGATCGCCTTTATACGGCTTACATTTACTCTCATGTACCCTCATTTGACACAAATCCAGATGTTTTCATGCTTGTGATGTAACACTTAATTGCTAACCTATTATTTCTTTTGTAAACAAAACTTTGTACTAATTCAGTGTCATAATATTAACCTAAAACAGCATTTGCAAAAAAAAAATTAAATTGTACTGCTCGACCAGGGGCAGTTGTCAGGATGAATGGCACAGCCCTACCATAGGCTACATTATAGAAAAGCTAATAAATAACTGTGTAGCAGTGGTGATAAAGATGTGTCCGTTACAGACTGCATGACTTCTCTATATCCTATGGAGTGTTTTTGTCTTTGTTTTTGTTTTCCCTGCAACAAACCGACTAATTAAAATTTGGTCCACTGAGTGTTTTCTTTGCCATTCTTGAGATGTGAGTGAAGATTTGGGAAAAGAAAGAAGACTATTATGGGCGGCTCTGCTGAACACTGAGTGCCTTAGATCATTAGGTTCATCATCAGTGTTGTATAAACTAGCGTTTGGGGTAAAATTGATTGAATTTCACGGCTTATAAGTTGTTGTTTTTTTCTTCTTGTTTATGAAGGTGATGAAATTGAATTGAAGGCTGAATCCTCCCAGGTGGTGGATGATGACGATGATCCAGAGAATAGGTATGATTTTACACACTGTGAATTGTTTTTATGTCTGCTTAATCTACATTTACATTTAGTCATTTAGCAGACGCTTTTAACCAAAGCGACTTACAAATGAGGACAATAAAAGCAGTCAAAACTAACAAAAGAGCAACAATATAGTGTTTTTTTTTTTAATAAAAAAAGATAAAGTAGAATTAAAATAGAATAGGAAGTGCTAGAGTTAGCGGGTCAAATAAAGATGTAACAGCCATCTTCAATTAATGACTAAAAACACATCTAAGGACTCAGCTGCTTGGATTGAGTTGGGCAGGTCATTCCACCAGGAGGGAACAGTTAATGAAAAAGTCTGTGAAAGTGATTTTGTGCCTCTTTTAGATGGCACAATAATACGCCGTTCACTAGCAGAACGTAAGCTTCTAGAGGGCACATAACTCTGAAGTAATGAATTTAGGTAGATGGGTGCAGAGCCAGTGGTGGTTTTGTAGGCAAACATTAATGCCTTGAATTTAATTCGAGCAGCTACTGGTAGCCAGTGCAAATTGATGAACAGAGGTGTGACGTGTGTTCTTTTCGGCTCATTAAAGATTAATCTTGCAGCGGCATTTTGGATTAATTGTAGAGGTTTTATAGAAGGGGCTGGAAGACCTGCCAAGAGAGCATTGCTTTAGTCAAGTCTGGATAGAACAAGAGCTTGAACAAGTTATGTTGCATGTTCTGAAAGAAAGGGCCTGATCTTCCTAATGTTGTATAAAGCAAATCTGCTGGACCGGGCAGTTTTAGCAATGTGGTCTGAGAAATTCAGCTTATCATCAATCACAAATCCAAGGTTTCTAGCTGTTTTTGAAGGAGTTATGGTTGATGAGCCTAACTGGATGGTGAAATTTTGATAAAGTGATGAGTTTGTTGAAACCACAAGCAGTTCTGTCTTAGCCAGGATCCGTCATCCAACAAGAAATGTCTGTTAGACATGCTGAGATGATCTGGTGGTTCACCATATCAAAAGCAGCGGACAGATCCAGCAAGATAAGTATAGAAGATTTGGAAGCCGCTCTTGCCAGTCTTAGGGCTTCAACAACTGAAAGCAAGGCAGTCTCGGTCGAATGTCCACTTCTGAAGCCAGGTTGGTTGCTGTCCAGGAGGTTGTTCTGTGTGAGAAAGGCTGAAGCTTCACCCTCAGTCTTGTTTCTGATTCTGAAAACCAAAGTAGTTCCCTTCATGAAAATGTCTCAGATTGGACGTTCACAAGGTAAAGTAAGAGGATGTATTATTCTGGACTTTTGGCCTAATCTTGTTTCTGTCTCTTCTAAAAGAATTGCCAAAAGGATGCTTCTGGCGCAAATCAAAGCCAATTATTCATCTGGAGCTGACAGTTCATCTGATGATGAAAACGCAGACAAAGAGGACGGGGATTCACCAAAGAAAGGAAAAGATGGTGCTAAGAAGCAAGACGAAAGTGGTGAGAGTTGGGAGTTGGTTTAGACAGGGCTGGGCGATATCATACCTCATTTTTTGGCTGAATTTCACAAGTAGCCAATCTGTCAGTACAGATGCTGTCAGAGCCTCTGACAGGGCAAGCCGCTTTAAACTATGTGTGTTAACTATCTTACGAGTTATTTTAAAACCCTTAATATAAAGCATGTCTCATGTTTAGGACAAACTGGATTATGCACTTTCTTACAGCAGCTCAGTCTGTGTCCTCCGCTATTTTTTTTTAGATGCGCTTGTATCAAACTAGTGTATATAAATATAAATGGTATTGCCTCATTCTTACGGTTTCAAAAAATATATCGATATGTGACCTGTGCTGGCAAGATGAGTCACAATGAGCAAATTTTCAAAAATGAGTTTTTATTTTCACGTTCTCCATTAAAAGACTTTCAAAATGATGTATGATTTGTTGGAATCATTAGTCAGTTCTGAGAAAAATCAAGTTGAAGTTTTCTGAAGGTTCCAAAGCAAAATCACAGAGCAACGTTGCATTGTTTCCTCCGCTTCCTTTTTTAATATTAATTACTGTATTAATAATCACAATAAAGCCATTTATTTTTTTTGATCTTAAAAATAAGAACCGATGCAAAACAACAACAGTAGAACAAATGGAAAGAAACAAATAGGCCTAGTGCATTACTTTTTTCATTTTACATCTAAACAAAAGCATTCAAGTAAGAAAAACAAATAATCAAATGTAATAAACCTCTTCAGTGTGTTCGTTACAAATAAATTGATGATTAAAACTACAAAAGCAGTTCGATCAAGGGCAGCGATCTTTTCTTTTCTTGTAAGAAAAGTTCACCCAAAAATGAAAATTAGCCTGTGTTTTACTCACCCTCAAGGCATCCTAGGTGTATATGACTTTCTTCTTTCAGACGAATCCAGTCGGAGCTATAGTAAAGTCAGATGGCCTATATAGTAAGTCCTACTGTACTGCACGGATCTAATATGCTACACATCAGATGTTTTCCCCAAATGTTCAGTTAAGGCATAACAGATTATGTTTGCATGAATAGCCTACTTAAATACAGTTAAGGCATAACAGATTATGTTTGCATGAATAGCCTACTTAAATACTGTAATTCTGTGTATAAAGTGTGTGTATTTATCGGGATCGTGTGCTGGCGGAAGCGCCGTTATGTGCTTGATTCATATGTCAGTCAGTGGCAGAGAAAAGGTATTCCTCTCAGAAAACGTACAAATATAGATAATTTTAGATGTTTAATTACTTATTGGAGCATTGGAATTGCTAGACGAGGGCTTTAATTAACTAATTTTTGTGAAAACTTGAAAGTCGACCAAAATCGACATTTTTAACAGTTTTTTTTTTATTTTTTTCTCTGTAGCTCAAAATTAGCCTGTGTGCATTCCGATACATTTTGCTAGCACGGGTCACATATGTGACCCTGGACCACAAAACCAGTCTTAAGTGTCAATTTTTCAAAATTGAGATTTATACATCATCTGGATGGATGCAAAAAAATCAAAATATTGAGAAAATCTCCTTTAAAGTTGTCCAAATGAAGTTCTTAGCAATGCATATTACTAATCAAAAATTAAGTTTTGATATATTTACGGTAGGAAATTTACAAAATGTCTTCATGGAACATGATCTTTACTTAATATCGTAATGATTTTTGGCATAAAAGAAAAATCTATAATTTTGACCCATACAATGTATTTTTGGCTATTGCTACAAATATACCCCAGCGACTTAAGACTGCTTTTGTGCTCCAGGGTCACGTATATCATAAAAACCTGATATACCGCCCAGCCCTAAGTTCAGATGTAACCCAGTTTAATGCAGATGTGTTCTTGTCATGTATAATGCATTGATGTTTCCTGCAGAGGAAGAGGATGAAACTTCGGACTCGGGCTCAGATGTTGACGTGAAGAAAGGTGGACGCAGACACCGTTTGTTGAGTAAGAAGTTGACTCTAAGCGAAGGAGACTCTGATGACGAGACCCCAGTCAAAAACAAGAAAGAAACCAAAAAGAGAGGCAAGCGGAAAGGTCAGTGTCAAGTCTGAACAAAACCTGCACGTGTGACTCGACTGAATGAGCTGAAGAGTTTACTGGATTTATTGATGTGTGTTTGTGCAGTGGACAGCGACGACTCTGCAGACTCGGACTTTGAGCAGTCGCGCTCGGGCTCCAGCGATGCATCAGCGCTCAGTGAGACTGTGAGTGAAGACGCCGATGAAGACAAGAGCAATAAGCGCAAAACACGGTAAGGATAGCAGCTCAGTTTTTCAAGTCAATTGATTTTGAAATGAAATTTCAGTTCAGAATGTCAGTTTTAAAGGTGCAATAGGTGAATGTATATGTGTTCAGGAGGCGTGGCTTTGGACGGCGATTGCAGGGAGGGTGGGACATTCGCTTTCAGTGCTATCAGGCTAAAGTTAGCATTTCCCAAGATGTCCTACTGCACCTTTAATTCAAAAGAACTTGCATTAGTTTGTTTTAAATGCTATTAGAAAACTATCCCTTTTTCGAGCAGTAGAGTAGCTCTCGACACATTGGGCCTGAAGTGCTTCCAGTGATGCAGGTTTGAGTCCCTGACTATCCTGTTTACGAACTAATCAAAAAACCATAAAGTGGCTTGCAAAACTGGCTGGCGTGATTATACTTGGGGCTGGACAGTTTTTATCAATTGGACAGATTTGATCAATTAATTTCAATGTTTTGCCACTTTTTATATACATTTATGTATATACATATTTTTATATTTATATCATGTTTTTTATGTGCAGTTACGTCTGGTTCGGACTGTCGGCCCAAATCCGATTTTTGTGCAGATCCGATTGAAATCTGATCATATTTAAATAGTCTGAACGGCAACGAACTACATTTCGAGCTACATTCATTCATATGTGGTTTGGAATCGTATTCGAATCGCATTCCCGTAAAAAACGTTTCAGTCTGACTGGTCAGATCGGATTTAGCGTAGCTTTTTTACATTCTCACGGCACGTAAAACGTAAACACGTCAGAAGTTTTTGTAGAAAACACGCTGAATGTCTTTGCGGAAGCGGAAAAAGACAATATACTGCTAGTATACGCACCTCTTTGAGTTTTGAAACCAGCGTTTTTTTTCCAGCTTCCTGCGTTTCCCATAAGACGAAATACAAACCAGCGCGACGGCAACATGTTGTCATGTCATAAGACAACATCTGTGCAATCTCTATTGCTGTTATTGTTGCATTACTGTAGGCATAACAACGCAACAAAATTGCCCGTCTCTTAGGACAGTAACCACACTGCATGAATTTAAGTCTAAACTCAAAACCTGGCTGTTCAACCAACACTACCGGTCATAACATGTTTTTTCTTAAACTGTTATGGTTCTCTGCTTGCATTTTATTTGTTTGCACTACTCCTGAGATTTGACGATACCAATATCGATACAGCTGTCCCTGTATCGATATCGCGGCACATGCGCTGCAGTGGACCGCGCTTAATTTAAATACAAGAGCAGCGTTTAAAATGGAGTAGAAAAGGGCAAGGTTTCTAAAAAATAATGAATAGAGCATAATATATAGGCTACAACAAGGTTTAATCTGGCCGCAGACAGAGGAACACAACAGGGGTTGCCTGATATAAAGAGATGTAATCCCTGAAACAGAGCTTCCCACTTGCGCACTATGGAAATATCTGCTAAGCGTGTTACTTGTTTTTGTCAACCTGGCAACCATGTGCACGCGCGCGCTCTCCACTGTGGATAAACACGCTTGCTTTCTGAAAACACCGGTTAGCTTGCAGT